AAAAATGGTTGGAAGGAGAAAAAGAAAGTAGGAATACTAAAGGTAAAAAAGATTACCTCCAAGTAATTTTGCCCCAGACAGCTCCTTGAGATATTTTCAGAGCCAACTTTAAGCTCTAAATACCCTTATCATTTAGAAAGAGCCAGTTTGAAAACCATTTGGATAAACATAATTCCCTACATCACTGCTCATTTGACATGGCTGCCTCCTCCTGGGAGTTGCTATGAATCTATTTCTGGACATATTCAACCCAAGTTCATAATGCTTCTCTGATCCACACATTGCAAGATGAAGCTCCAACTAGGCCTAGGCCTCAAATTGCAGCTTCTTAGGGCTGTGAATGTACTTGGTAGCACCAAGGCTGGCACAGACAGAGGATTTCTTAAGTGGTTTCTGGAAAGGGTGGCATCACAAAGTAGACGGGATGATAGAGAAGTAGGCTGGGGGCACTCACTTTGTTCGAATGTCACATCCAACCTGAGACTCCAGATGTGGCCCACCGAAAATCACTGCCATCAAATCCATTCTGACTCATAGTAACCCTAGCAGACAGAGTAAAGCTGCCCCTGTGTGTTTCTGAGGCTGCAAATCTTCGTGGGAGCAGAAAGCCTCATCTTTCTCGTGGAGTGTCTGGTAGGTTCAAACTGCTGACCTTGTGGTTAGCACCCCAATATAAAACCCACTACACCACTAGAACTCCTCCAAGACATGGCAGGACTCTTTCATCTTCCCGAAGAATCTGGCAACGGAAGTGAAAGAGACAGTCATCGTGTATCTCGCTGAGTTTCTTTTTTATTTTTAATCATTTTATTGGGGGCTTGTACAACTCTTATCACAGTCCATCCATCCATCCATTCTGCCAAGCACATTTGTACATTTGTTGCCATCATCATTCTCAGAACATTTGCTTTCTACTTGAGCCCTTGGTATCAGCTCCTCGTTTTCCCCTCCCTTCCCGCTCCCCCCTCCCTCATGAACCCTCGATAATTTATAAATTATTATTATTATTTTGTCATATCTTATACTGTCAGACATCTCCCTTCACCCACTCACCGTGTTTCTTGATGAGAATGTCTGCTGAAGTTTGTACCATTTGTCTGACAGGACAATAATCCAACTCATGTAATCATGGAACTAAAGAATATAAAAGCAGGAAAGGTCTTTAGAAATCACACCTCTCTAACTTCTTCTTTTTTTAATGGCTTGGGTCTGAATCTGGGATAAGGACAACATATCATTTCAGATATTCAAGCAGCACCCTCCTCTGTGCTGCCGTGGTGTCTCATGCTGACTGCTGCCATAGCACATACCCCAGTGCATTGCTACTGCCAGTGAGGACGTCTGCCCCTACTCTGAACATGGAAGTCACTGAAAGCAGAAATCGGGCCTCCCTTTTCTACATCCTTAATGTCCAATAAAGCTTGCTAGATACAAAGCAGGTGGTCAATAATGTTTACTGGTGAAATCAAAGTTTTAAAGCAGACAGTGAAGAAATGATCTTCCTACTAGGCAAAGGGTTTAGTACCTTGGTTACATTTCCTTCTAATAAACCAGGATGTCTTTCATACTGTTTTCCTCATTTGCCAGGGGATAGGTTGGCAAGGCTAAGGATGACTGTATGATACAGACCTCCATCTCAACCCCAAACACCACTGGTTGGTTCACATTTCTTTCTGCTTACCCAAATGCCCCTAACTCAAGCCTGAAAGCCACAGAAAGCTCATGAAGAGAACCGCCACTTTGACTTTGCAACAAGAAATGCAGTGAAGTATTTTGTTACTATTTATATGGTATCTCAAAGCCAGTTTACCCTTGCAAACTCTAGGTTTTAAGACTAGCGGGTAATCCTATATCCAGCAGTGATACCTCTTAACAACCCATGGAGGGTTAGGTTGGGGTCTTTGTTGGCCAACTTCTCTGCTTATGATGCTACTATCATAATTTCCAGTATTTCATTGGAAAACCAAAGAAGATGTTCAACGAGTGTCTCGCTGCTTTCTTCAGCGAGGGCTCAATTGCTAAAACATGGTAAGTTTGTTGAGGGTTGTCAACCAACAGCACTATTCCTGATGAGCCACGGGGCCCTGTAACTTAAATGGGACTAGTCCAGCTCTACCCACAGTTGCCCCTAGAAGACCAGAGTTGAAAGCATGGTGGTAGAAGAAAGGGAGGGAAGGAAGGCAGTTGGTGAGTGAGCAGGGGAGGAATGGATGGAATTGTCCATGATTCATTCAATGAAGGATTTTTCAATTGCCGACGCATGGAAATGCCCCTTTTTCCCTCATTGTTTGTTACTGACCCATTCCCATAATTCTTCCAGCTGTCTGTCTTTTCTCATAATGCTAGCCAAGCAAGGATAGGAATGTGGTGGCTTTCAGGAGGTGGCTACCCCACCTCAAGTGCAAAATATATTATCCACCCACTGGAAATACACACTTAAAATCACAAGGCCCTGGAGGCTCTTGTGAAACATGCAACAAGAGAACAAGCATGTAGTGCGTGCCACAGAGTGGAGACTCTTTATAAGGGGACTTTTCCATGTTAAGTTGTCACAGCCTGCCATTGGAACCTTGGTACGGATTTGTCTACAGATTATCATCTCCCAGGACTCTGGGGGACATGGGAAGGAGCTATAACGGGAAGGTTTGGATATGGAAGGCTGGCCAAGGCCAGGAGGCAGAGCTGGAGGTGGCGCAGATGGTGAGGTGAAAGGGAAATTAACAGCATGGAGAGGGTGGAGGAGCAGGAAAGGGAGCACCTCTTAAAGGTGACAAAGACAGAAAGGAGTCTGGAAAGGAACGCTGATTGATTTCTCTCTGAGTCAGGCACTGGGTTTGTTCCTTTCACGCAGCAGCTCATTCATTTCTCACAGCCAACTTCCAGAGAATGAAATGCTAACAGTCCCATTTTGTGCATGAAGAAACTAGGGTTCAGCCAGGTTAAGAGACGGGTTCAAAGTCACTCACGGTCTGTATGTGAAGAAATTTAGACTTGAACATGCAGTTGTCTGTCTCCAAAGCATATATTCTCTCTACCCTGAACAATGCTATCGCACTCTCCACATTTGTCTCTAAGCGCCTCTTTGCCCCAATGCTCCTACAAGGGACTCACAAGATCAGCCACTTGTGACTGGACGTTTTCACCCAAGAAGCTTTCAATACCTGATGGGGCAGGAAGAGATCGTGCATGATTAGAGTGAATAAACATTTCAGAGAATACCTAGGCCCTTTTTTTCCGGTTGCCAAAGGGTTTGAGACCTTGTTGTCCAGGCCTATGGCTTGCAATCTAAAGCTCTGGGATAATTAGCACAGTGGCGGGAGCCATGTCCCCCATTGCCTTTCAAACCAGTAGATCATTTTTGCTGTACACTGAATGAAAGTTCATCTTCTGCTTTCACTAGGAGGGTAGGCTATAAAAAGGAGACTAGTGCGTGGGAGGAGAAAGGAAGTATGCCGAAAACCAGGAGCTTGCAAAGTAGTGGTGGTGTAGGAGTGAAAACCGAGGGAGATATAGAAGATTCTTTTTTTCTCACAGCTGGAGAATGATGCTGGCAAGACGGGTCCACACACCAAGCAGTTCATAGAGAAGATGCTGTGGAAAAGAGCACACCTCAGTGCTACCCAAACAGGACTACATAACGTCAAAGATCCTTTCCACTCTCCGGTCCTGAGAGGGGGAAGAAGAGACAGGGGAAACTGATAAAGGAACTGCTAAAGTGAGGGGCCTATGCTGCTAAGTCCAGAGACAGCCCCAAGAGAGCAAGGCAGGCAGAGACCCATTCCTTCCACCTTCACTTTCCTTGATCTTCACTGCCTTCGCTGCTCATTTCCACACTTCTCTCCTCCCCCCTCAGTGGGACCTAGCGTCCTTCTCATTAACCTTTCAGTTACCATCTCCTGCCACGTACTTTTTTCTAAGCTCTCCATAGCCCATTCCCCAACCCCAGCCCTCCCCTACCCCTGCATCCCACAGCAGCACCTGCATAAGGGAAAGGACATGCCTCTCAGAGCTGTGGGAGTCAGGGTGTTGTCCACTTGCCTCGGATCTCTGCTGTGAAACCTGAGCGGCAAGGACCAGGCATGCGCAGCATCTTTGGGCGCATTGTGATGGGAACCGCTTCTAGGAGTCTCTACAAAGACCCCAGAGTAACCACCAAGGCTCCCCCCCACCCGCCCACACACGCGCATTGGCCCCTTCTTAAAGACAGACCTCCAAATGCAAAGGCAATGCAGATTTGGGGGGAAAGGGCCCATTGTAGCTTGAAAGAGCGGGCTGGTGTATTTCTATTGATCCCATCTCCCCTGTTGACAAACGCCAGCGCGGAGGCTTTGCAGTCTATGGCTGCAGTTTGCAGTGGAGCTAAGCGGGTGTGTGGCTTTAATTCCACGTCAGATCAACTTTGATCAATAGCCCCCTACAGACCCAATCGGAAGAGCCCGATTCAGGGGCTCTCAGCCTTTTAGCTCTTTCTTTCTTTTCCCCCCTCTTTAGACCCACCATCTTTTAAGGGGGGGAGTCTCAGATTTTCTTTATAATTTCTTTCCCTCTTTTTTTCCCTTTTTCCTCTCTCGCTTTTGCTTCTTTGTTTTTTGTTTTCCAATGTTTTGCCTGTTTGGTTTTGCTTTGGGTTTTAGGTTTTGATGTGTTCTCTCTCTCTCTCTCTCTCTCTCTCTCTCTCTCTCTCCTCTTTTTCGCTCTCTCCTCCCCTCTCTCTCTCTCTTCCTGATAGGGAGAGAGATCGCTTTGGCAAACCAAGCTTGCAGCCAATGAGCCCGCCTTCTAGATTGGTGTGAAGACAGAAGTGAGGTGGGGGTCGGGGAGGGGGTGTGTGAGAGAGAGAGAGCCTGAGAGGGAAAGGGAGAGAGAGAGAGAAGAGGAGAGGAGAGAAGAGGAGCGAAGAGGAGGTGGCAGCGGTGGCGGAGGAGGACTAGTGTGGGGTGGAAGGAAGAGTGAGCGCAAGCAAGTTGAGAGGGGGGTGTACGAGCCCACTGGTTCTTTTCCTGTTTCTGCTCTTATTTGGGCGACTCTCGAGTTGTGCCCATGCTCTTGGCAGCTTTGTGTGAAGCGTAGCATCGCTGGGCAGAAGAAAATGGGGCGAAACATGCTGCAGGCGTTCTTCTGGTTCGTCCTGGGGCTTTGGGGTCACTCGCACGGAGGATTCCCCAACACCATCAGCATAGGTAAGCTCAGCTCCAGCCAGCCCGCCTGCCAGTGGGGGACTGGCTCCCCTGCACCTGAGACCACTGTCCCGAAGGGGCATCAGCGGCCGCTGTCCCTGTCCCGCATTGCTTGGGGAAGGGACAGAGCATGGGGACACTGGGCAGAGCCCCAGGGGAAGCCAGCCCTCCTGAAGGAGGCGAGCTGATGGGTCTGGGGGACCAGGGGAAGCCGTGGGGGTCTGTCTGCTTGGGCTGGGTGAGGGGGGACACCTGGCCGAGCGCAGGGAAAGCCTGCCACAAGCAGGGAGAGGCTGCAGGCGAGGGGCGGGCGGGGGGGTGGTGGCCCCCAGAGTGGCAGCTTGGACTTTGCCATGGCGTGCGTGCCAGGAAGTTGTCCCCGGGAGATGCCGCCTGTCTGGCGGCGCGGGGCGCGTCCCCTGAGCCTGGGGCACCCTGCATACCCCCCGTGGCAAGGACCCTAGGCAGTCCTGGGGAAGGGGGGAGCCCAAGCGGCAGCCGCAGCCTGGAGAGATGGGTGGGAGGCGGGGGTGAGACACCGAGCCCTGCAAGTGAGCTGGCCGCGAAGTCACGCAGCCCACCAATTTCTGAATCGCCTCTGTGTCTGTCTGCAGCCAGCTTGGGATGCGGGAGGGAGGGCGCGGGGCTTTTGGCTGTATTTGCAAGTATAGAAGTTCAAATTGTTTCCCTAAGGGAGCCCACCCTCTATATTGTTAGAGCCGAAAAACTGGATGGGGTCCGCGGGTGGGGGGAGAGATGCAATTGGTCCTCTTCCCCATCTTTCCCTTTGCACCAGGAAAGGCTGGACCAGCTGGTGGGGATTGGCGCCTGGGGAGGGGGCCCGAGAGGGGACCCAGTCCCACTGGCTTCTCCTCCCCACCCCACCCCTGTTCCACCGGTTCCACAGTCCACCCCAAAGTAGCCCCCTCGCCCCCCTCGCCCCAGCTTGCTTTTCCTAGTTAGCTCCAGCCCCTCTTCCCACTCCATCTCCCTTCGCTTTAGAGGTGATGCAGGGTTCTAGAAGCCAACATCCCAGTTCATAAGTCTTGAAGAAAGACACACAGGTTGACAGTCAATCCATCCCACATGAACCCCAGCCCCAGTGAGAGGTAACAGTGAGGCTCCTTGATCTCTACCCGGACCTGGGGGCACCAGCCACATCTCAGTTCCCTTTGCTCCTAGGTGGACTTTTCATGAGAAACACCGTGCAGGAGCACAGCGCTTTCCGCTTTGCCGTGCAGTTATACAACACCAACCAGAACACCACCGAGAAGCCCTTCCATTTGAATTACCACGTAGATCACCTGGACTCCTCCAATAGTTTTTCTGTGACTAATGCTTGTAAGTAGATTGGCATTTCCTCCCTTTGGGACCTGGGAGACCTCGTTGTCATTTGGGCTTCTGGGGTTCGGGGTCTGTGTGTGTTAGGGGGGATGGCTTCCCAGTGGACATGTTTTAGGGACTCTAGGCAATCCAGGCTTCCTGCCGCATGCATCAACTCTGGAGGATCCTACTGAGTGAGGGGGCAAGGCTGTAGGGAACATGTTCATTAATAACGCTGGCTGCCAAAGTTCAATTTACCCCCCAGCTTAGCTGGCACTCCCTCCTCCATACCCCTTGTTGGTTTCATTCCTTTGATTGTTTGTTTGTTTGTTTTCTGGATGGGGGAAACATGATTGTTTTGGGAAAGCTCTAAGGATGAGACTAAAGCAAGGAGAAGCGTCTTGTTGGAGTCAATTCAGGGAGCACATCACTGGACTCAAAGTTGGTGCCTGGCTGTAAGGATGAGCTGAATTTGACAACGGCCTATTAGATAGCAGCCAAGTAGGAGAAATTCTGCAAACAAGTGACCTTGAGGGAAAGAACAGCCTGGGTTCCCTGGCCTCTTTTTGTCCTAGACTATATCACGTGTCTTACTGAGAGACCTCTGATAGCAGTTGATTGCACTAGGAACTACTTGCAAGTGATGAACACCTGGCCAACTGAGGGGCAGGGCAAAGATCATGCACTCAGCTGAATCTTTGGAAAGCTTGTTCTTCTTCCCCCTTGTGGTGCTCAAGCCCCACCTCCCCCCTTAAGAACTACACAGTTCTTAACTTGAATTGAGAAGGGTGGGAGTGGGCAGAGACCGGCAGCAGGAAACTGAAATACCCAAAGCAAGGCATTCCTCCAGCTCCAACGCCTCTTCTGAAACACCTAGTATGTGCCCCCAGAATGTTCCTCTGGCACGGGGGACAGTCTGAGAAAGCAAACCACAGGAATCCAAAAGGTCAACGCCCTGTGGGACACAGTGGTTTTCTTGAATGGAATTCGCTGAGAACGGCTGGCAATTCTTCATCTAAGTTGATGTCAGGAAAAGTGTTCCCCACAATGAGGCTATTGATGGCACAAAGCAGGCTTTTTGCTTTGATAGCTGCTGTGGTTTGCATTCCCCCACCCCCAAAGGGAGAGCTATCATTGATGTTTGACTGGATGAAACATTGTCTGGGACTGCCTTCCAATCTTTCTGCCTGGAAGCCTATGTGATTTCCAAATACTCTTCAACAGGCCCTACAGGACATAGCCTCCTTGGGGTTGAAGACTTGCGCCATAGGCGTGAAGGTAAAGTCCTTTGCAAGAAATGTGACAGTTGTCAGCTTTAAGTAAAATTTAGCTGAGGGTACAGATCCTTATATGCACATGTTCTGAGCTACTCCGTATTTGACATTTTTGGCTTTCCAACATTGACAAAAATAGGCACTTATTAATTCCAGCTAAGTGTGAAAGCTACAAAATGTCTGTCTATACTTTGCATCTTATTTTGGTAATCTCTGCCTGTCTCTGCAGCACTTATAACTCACATCTGACTCTTGATCTTGCTCCAGTGTGATCTTGTCAAAAGACTGGATCTCAACTCCAGCTTCCTAGCAATCAATTAAAACAGATTTAAAACCAATTACATAACTTCGGGAATTTGTCATCATTGATAACAGTGAAACATTCATATCACTCTCCTTCCATGTCTTTCCACTGATGTGTACTGGGATAAGACAGCCGCTTGGTTTCTAAGAAATGATTGTTCACCAAGGGTTTCAGTCCCATTCTTAAGGTTAAACGGGATTGACACACCTGCCAGTCGAGGGCCTGTGAAACCCCACAAAAGGGACAATCGGAAAATGATCTTGGCCATGTGAAAAACTCAGATTTGGACCCAGGAAATAAGTCAGCCATATTGGCATTTGGTTGCCTGATTGCCTTACCAGGGCAATAAAGAAATAAAATTAGAAAACCAAAGAGAGGCATCAAAATCCCTGCCCTACATCCATAGCACTCCTGTTTACCCAGGCTGAATTATGGCTGGGGATTGAAAGGGGGTGGGGGTGGGAAAAGAGTGATGGCTACTGGGCAACAAGAAGAACAGAAATCTAAACTGTTGCCCATAGTTGTTCCAAATACAGACATGAGTACGTGTGCGCGCATACACACGCACGCACGCACGCACGCACGCGCGCAGGCAGACAGGTGAGAAATCTCCCGAAACCAGTGATGTGTACCCAGCTGCCTGTTGCACTCTCCGACTTCACAGCTCAAAGGACAGAGGGGGAAAGCTGTCATCTCCTCCGATCCCTTAAACAGTCCTCTCTGAATGTCACAATCATTGAATAGGGACCAGATCTCAAAGTTATGTCCTGGCAGCTGCTGCCTATGGCTCTGTATGAGAAAGACGACTAGTCCAACTACAGTCTGATGGTCTCTGAATCCACAGCCCAGTCTTTCCAGGGGTCCAGGAAGCCAGGCATAGGATCTCTTTTTCCCCCTCTCCCTGTGGAGGTAGAGACAAAACATCTTAGATGCCAATGTACACTTCTAGTCCAGTATTGTAGCCAGGAAGTTCCCACCAGGTTCTCTACCTCCAATGGACTATCCTCATGTTGCCCACTGCCATGACAGAAATCCCTGTGTCCTGTGCCTTGTCTCTCCCCGGAGACCTAGGAACAATTAAAGAAAACCCCAGATGAGTCCATACCGGGGCACCCACCTCTCCTATCTGACGCAATAAGACACAGGCTTGCAAAACATTAACTTTCCCCTGGGCCCATTGAGAATCCCTGCATTTGGCTTTCCCTAGCACTGGATTTGATTTCATCTCAAGTCCCAGAGTCTGACATCCTTTCTCTGGCATTCCTATGCAGGTAAACAAATACCCAAAGAGTAAACAAAGCGTATTTCCTTCTGTGTGTATCCCTGTTCTCGCCTCCAGCTCTGCACACCCCCCGCCTCCCCATGTATTCAGAAGGTTTTCTGACAACGAATCCCAGGCATCCGTTATTTAAAACTCTTTTTTTATCAGCAGCCAATGTTTGAACAACCCCCAAGAGATTTACTTAAGGCATACTCCAACTTCATTCCATGTATGAAGAGGCCAATAAAAAACCTCCCTGGCTTTGAGGGGTGGGTCATTTGGGATCTCAGCTGAGAGGTGAATTGAGGTTTATCAAAGAGACGCATCTCGCTTGGAGCACATGTTTCCATTTCATAGGGATTCATTGGGTTTGCGGTTCTTACTTTTCAATCTAGCTCGATAACCCCAGAGAGAAGGACAGTGTGAAACTTTTGATTTCAGCCTGCCTACATTCGTATCCACCCACAGCCATCCATCCCCCCACCATCAGTGTCCACGAAAAGAGATGTACACACACATTGTAAATTACATGTGTCTGGTCCTTGAACACCAGATCATCCTAGGAATTGGAGGGTGTGCTAACACCGAGGGACTGTGAGTCCCATTGGCTTGGCTTCGCTGATTTGGTTCCTCAGGAAAACATCAATTCCCTTTTGGTCCCCTCCCATGTCTTGCCGCTGTGCACTTGTAGTGCACTCCACACTACATCACCCCAGTCTCTGCAGTGTCAGCTCATTAGCACACAGATCTCATATTCCCTCTCCGCACTGTCATTGCAAAAATCGCTGTTGTACACCTTTACAGCCAACAAATGTGCTCGTGCATTACGCGCTGTTTGCAAGAAGCAGGGGAAAGGCAAATGTAACCTTAAAGGTTATTCACCACGGAATTGTGCTTGAAACGCATTGGCTTAAATAAAAATCTGTTGAGGGAGGCGCAATGGTGATGGTGGGACAAGAGTGGGTCTTCGGAATGGAGGCTTTAATGGAGCCCCAGGCAAAAGCCCTTCTGCTGGTTAAACCTACCCCATCCGCTGCAAACGTGTACGCCTTTAATTTAGAGGTGGGAGAGGGGGCCATTTGAAATATACCGTGCTAACCGAGAGCACATTCCTTTCATCACCAAGTGTTGCTACCAAGTGTACTTAGCCGAGACAGGTTTCTGTCTCAGGCCCACAGAGTCACAATCTAATTATCTAATTATTCTAATTGCCAGGATCCATTTAACTGTTTAGGTCCATTTGGGAAAAACTGTCTCCTGATCCCATTTTCTGCTCTTTGGTGGGTTTGAGTTTGGCTTGGGTGTTTGTTACACTTTCCGTGCAAGCTTTGGAATCAGGGTGAAGACAACCCCCCCAACGCACCCCCACACCAAATCACAGCTCTAGGCTCAGACATATTTTCATATACTAACCAGCGTCAACTGTTCTGGCTCCATCCCCCCACCTTTACTGCTGTGCTTCTCTCCTCTGTCGTCTGGCCAGTCTTTAGTAAAGTCGCTGGCTTAGCACACCTCTCAGCCCCTCTGGCCAGCTGGCTTAGCCCACTGAAGCAAAAAGAGCTTGCCTGAGTGGTGCCAGTCAAAGACTGAAGTCACCTTCTCACAGGGTTTATTATGTATTTTTTAATCTATTTTTTATGGGGGAGGGAAGGGAGGACAGAGGACAGTGAGGGTGCTCATCTGGACCATAAAAATAGATGGCAATCGGTAGGCTGGAAAGGTGAGGGTCCAGACAAACCTCCCCTAAAAGGCTTCCTATCGCTCTATTCCATGGAGGTAGGGGCCAGGAAGGGAGTTCAGGAGAAGGAGCCAGGAGATGTATTTTGTTTTTGACCTGTGCTTACTACAAAATGGGCTATGGGCCTTTTCTCCTCTGTGTAACTGTAACTTTCCTCCTTCAAATGAAGCTGGTATGCCCCGTCTTCCTCACTTCTGCCTCTCTCAGAGACTGTTGGATCCCTGCTTTCTGCCTTTCTCTCCCTACTCCCCAACATCTAGCAGAGCGGGGTTGCGTGAAATGTTTCTATATGTGTTTGGCTCTTGAGATATATAAATATATATTTCATTGTCCTTGGTAGTCAGACATGATAGGCTGATTTCCTCTTTAACAGACTGAAAAAGAAATGAAGCCCTCTAGGCATTGTTGTTCATCTTCCTTTGTGTGTAAGAGATTTGTCAT